TCATCAAGCGAGTTGATGGGAGGCACTTTGTGGCTGAAATACTCCACAGGGTGCCAGTCGTCGCCGTCGTGTTGTTCCAAGACTGCCCCAATGCCATAGCCGGAAGCGTTAATCGTCACTCTCGTAGGCAGGGTGGGGTCATAGATGCTAAGGACGGGTGCCATGAGCATAGTTGTCTTAAGTGCTTGGAATGACCGGCGTGCGTCGTCATCGAATACGAATGGCACCTTTGGTGATTGTAATCTCGTCATAGGTGCAGCAATCCTCGAGTATCCGGTGATGAATCGCTGATAGTAGCCCGCCAATCCCATGAATGAACGAACGTCCGTGGTGTTGGTGGGCTCGAGCCATACTCGTAGGGCCTCAATCTTGTCTGCAAGCGGACGGATGCCTTGTGGCGTCACATAATGTCCCAAGTACTCCAACTCGTGCCACGCGAATTCGCACTTGTCGCTGTTGGCTTTGTACTTGGCTTGTCGTAGCCGCTCCAAAACGGTGCGCAGGTGTTCCACATGCTCCTCCAAACTCCGGCTGTACACCAGAATGTCGTCGAGGTAGATAAGTACGTATCGATCCAGCATGTGTCGGAACTCCGTTGTCATAGCCGCTTGGAAAGTGGTCGGGGCATTCGTAAGGCCAAACGGCATGACCAGCCATTCGAAATGCCCATATCGCGTCTTAAACGCGGTCTTGTAGCGATCCTCCTTCCGAATCTCGAGTTGGTGATATCCCGACTTGAGGTCCAGCTTGGAGAAGAACTTGGCGCCGCCCAGTCGTTCGAGAAAGTCGTCGATGCGTGGGAGAGGGCCGGCGTTTCTGATCGTCTGCGCTTTGAGCTTGCGATAATCGATACACAACCGCAAATCCTTGTTCTTCTTCCGGACGAAGAGAACAGGAGCACCGTATGGCGATGAGCTAGGCCGAATCCAGCCTTTCTCCAGGAGGTCGTCGAGTTGTGCCTGAAGCACACTTAACTCTTCCTCCCTCATTCGGTAGATGCAACCGCGTGGAGGTACGGCCCCGTCCTCGAGGATGATCTCGTGGCGGATGGGCCGATCCGGTACTACTCTGTGCGGGCCTTCGAACACGTCGCCGTAGGCGTCGAGAAGCTCGGTGATGCGTGGATCCGAAGAAGAGTCCGTCGATGAAGCGTCATGGGGCGGGAGGGCGTGGAGAAAACACACCCCCATCTCCTCGATGTCGTCTCTGATGATGGAAGCTCGCATGCTTGCGGTGGATACCACGTGACAGCTGACTGAAGGGTGAGGAGGAGCTACCGTGCATGGGACTAGTACTCCGTTCCGATCACGAACGTGAACGGTGCGGCGGTAGAAGTTCACCGGGTGATCCTCGCTTCGCAGCCATGACATGCCCAAGATCATGTCGAATTTGGTGTCCAGAACGTCAAAGGACACCGCCTCACTTGCGCGAGGGGCAAAGTACACTGGGACGTCATCAATGCACCGGTCGATTGACTTGTGCGTGTGACCGTCTGCCAACGTGACTTGCGTGGGTTGGGACTTCCTTCGGACTCGTGGGCCAAGGCCGGCGCGTACCATGAAGTCCTGACTCATGTAGTTGCGAGATGCTCCGCAATCGATCAAAGCGTTGCAGGTCGCCTCTCCGATCTGAATGCGTACATATAGCAATGGTGCGTTGATGTCGTCGTACCGTTGCGTCTTAACTCGCGGTCGATCTTCGCAATGTAGGCGTGAAGGTCGACAATCTCTACTCCGGTGTCCATCAACGGAGTCAGTACTGCAGTGTGCAAGTAATCCCGCAATTGTGCCTTGAGCACGTTGCAATGCGGTTTCGACAATCGACCGGACCGAGGAAGGGGAATCCATTGGAAGTCCGCAAATGTCAACGGGTCGAGCTTTTCAAGTCTTGACCATGACGTTGAATCCCCGGCGGTAGATGGCGGCGAAGCTGCCAAATCGGTTGCCGATGGTGATGAAACCGTTCATGCGGTAGATTGTTGCATGTGGAGCGGTTGGTCCAGCGGTGGGACCAAGCGGACAACATAATCCTCGTAAGCATACCGAGAACTTACGACATTCGCATCCTCCCCAGATGTGTAGGAGGCCGCTAGCAAGGCGGCCGAATCTGGCGGAGTGGGGGGTGGAGTCGCCTCACCTCCCGCTAGCAAGGCGGCCGTAAGCATACCGAGAACTTACAACATTCGCATGCTCACGACGTAAGTCTCTCTGAATGTCTTTCATCATCCCCCTTACTTCTGGGAGCATCGAAATAAGGATTGAATCCCTTTTCCTTTTATTATCCCGGCATTCCCCCTCAGACTGTA